TGAATATATCTGTTCAAGGTTATTTTCCATTACCGATGGAAAGTTCATATATTTAATAGTATTTGGAATTTTAACTTAAAGATGAAGAGATCAAGGTTAGCATTGATCCATATTCAAATAAAGTAAAAATATAACATTCCTACTCAAATATAGTGTACAGGTATCAAGTTGATACTTAAACGTAAGTTACAAAAGGTATTGAAAAAGATAAAGGAAAATGGTAACAATACTTTGGCTTTAAGAAATGACTGAACTTTACCTGATATTACTTACAATAAATAAAATAAAATTTAACTATTTTACAGCATGCATCTCTAATATTAGTGATCTCTCTAGATGCCATGGCATCAGCTCCTTGGTTGAAAAAAATATATATCATTAATAATCTTAGTGCATGGACTTAGAGCCATTTGCAAAGAAAAAGCCAGACAAGAATAACTCCTGATTCAATCCTAACGAATCCGGGGCTTTATTGAAACAACCTTATTATCAGGAGGTATTCCTGGACTTGGCAGTTGGAAGCTGACATTTGTTCCCCACTACCTGGTACTAATTGGTATGTAAGCCCTGGCAGCTAAAATAGGACTTGATGGGAAGAAAAATATGTGTACCTCTTTAATGCAAGGGTATGAAAGCCCATAAAAGAATAATTCACAAACCCAAATACAAGGCGGGAGCAAGCAGGGGAGGAAAGTTATTTTTTGCATCCCCTGAGCAAACATGTAATTTCCATGATTTCTTTTTAATGACTGCGGTCTGTGGCCAGTAGGCACTGATTTATGAAAAGCTGTAAAAGATCAGGTGGAACTCTGTAGGACATCGTTTACAGCTGCATGGATTGAAACCTATCTAATTTGTCTAGTAAAAGTGTGAGCTCACGGTGCACATCACCCTGCCTATAAATTTCCCCTTCAGACCCCAAGTCTGGGGCTGGGTCTAAAAAAACCTGCTGCCTGCAGCTGCTCAGAATGCTGGATTCCCTTGGTGCGCATGAAGAGACATCACAGGCTCTTCACAGTGAGAGACAAATTCCTATCCATTGATAAACTCTCCAGATGTCCTCTCGGAGGAGGAAAGGAACCAATTTTTATTTGAAATCCCTAGAGAGATCCTGGAAGTGGAAAAATGATACTTTGCAGGACCGGTTATTCTGAGGTCACCGGCATTAAAATTAGGTTCCTTTTTTTTTTCTTTTTTTTTTTTTCTTTTTTTGTCTTGGTTGTACTTTGATCCAAGTCATAAACAGAAAAACTCAGCTGGGGTCACTCTAATCCCTAATCCACACGTCCTGTTCTATTTCAATTTGTTTATACTAATTTTCTCCAACTTCTTGTTGAGTCTGTCCAAAGTGTTGAGTTTAAAAATACAAACCGTCCTGCGCTGGGAAGAAAATGTTTCCCATTTTGCTATTAGGCACACTTCATAAATATCCTGAATAAATGGCCTGGGGTTTGATTCTTTGTACCCACAAACCCATAAATAAAAAAGTATTGCTATTCATGGGACGGAGAGACGACATGGGTTCTGTGCAACAGCTACTGGAGACATGGAAACTGGTCTGTGTGTGTTCACATTCTAGGGTCTTTTTATATTTCTCACATTCAAGGTGCTTTTGTTTCTCATTGTCTTGTATCTTAGCCTCACTCATTTTTCTTATAAAACTTTCTCATACTTGATTTATGTTTTTCTGTGCTCTTTATATATAGGAAAGATGATTTATCCAAAAAAAAATCCATTGTTCAGCTATGTGACAAAAATGAGAAAAATAGAGGCAGAATGAAATATATTATTGCGCCTTATTTCTTAAATTGGTTTGAAATTTGAAATTTTTAATCAAACTATCTTAATGTATCTTTATAATTTTATCTCAAATTATAGGTTTCTCCAACACTGAACAATAATATGAGGGTCTTGGGCAGGTTCTGAAATTCTCCTTACCTAAAAACTCAAGTTCTAAACCAGTAAGATGACTCAGCAGGTAAAGGGGCTTGCAGACAGGACTGATGAACTGAGTTTTCCACCATTATCCACATTAAGGTGGACAGAGACAACAGACCCTCCTCTGACAGCAACACAGGCACTGTGGTACAGGCATCCACAAAACATTGTTCTCAGACACACACACACACACACACACACACACACACACACAGAGGGAGAGGGAGAGAGAGAGAGAGAGAGAGAGAGAGAGAGAGAGAGAGAGAGGAGAGAGAGATGGGGCTGGGGAGAATAATAAAATAAAAATTTAAAAATCCTGAACTTTGTACTTTACATGTATACTTTTGCATGTTAAGGGAAGATGAAGATGATCAACATTGGTAAATGAAACTTCCCAATTAAAAGAACATTTGCGGTACAGAGTGGGCACCTTGAGGAACTCCGCTCAGAGCCGTTTTCTTATTTACAGAAGGAACATCGCCCTGCAGGGCCTACAAGATAACTGGTGATTGCTTTCATGTGTGAGAGAGAGAGTGTAGATCCAGAGCATTGGAATGTTCAGTTACTTAATAAGATATGACTACAATTAACCCCAGTTAAATTTGCTTCAAAAAGACGGGAATAAAAAGCATGCTAATTGTCTTCACTTATCTTGGAGGCCTCTATATCCCCAAGTTGAGTTCCCATATTCCTAAACGCTGAATTTCAATACTTCACGTTATATATTTATTTTAGACACATGTTTTTAAGAGGATAAAATAAAAGCATTTTAAAACTGATGATAATGGATATTTTATGCTACAGATTGAATCTAGAATTGTATGAACATGCTCTAAACAAAAGTACATATTTGGTCTTAGGTATTTTAAAATACACTAACATGTCTTAAGAGATGAATAAAGACTAAATCCAATGCCAACTTCACAAAAGATAAAAGGGTTTGAACAATAATTCTGTTGCGGTTAAAAAATGGAAAGGCATGTTTAGAATTACAGAAATGGGACTATGGTAGGTACAGGCTTAATGTAAGCAACATATTCTGTTTAATAATTAGAAAAATAATGACATTAGACAGAATAACACATCCATTTACAAGAGTAGCCTGTGACCTCATAATGAGCTTGTAAAAGTTATTGACTATTCTAATGAGGCCTCTAATAACTGCCCCTTTTCAGTGCTGTTGCTCCATCGTATATATAATATTACACATGATTAAACAAACAGTCACGCCAATCGAAGCATTGTATAAAACGTAGAATTTACTTTTCTAAATTTTCTTCTTGAAGTTTTCAAACTGTTATGGAGACTCAATGACTATTCAACCTATGTCACTATAATAGAAAAACTCTGCAATTATATTGCAACATTGCTCTAAATATAACCAATGCATTTACCTGCCAGCTGTGGAACACCTGTTGTTACTTCTATCACATGCATCCATTTTATGGTTGAGGAAATTAGAAAACCCTCCTGGCCACATAGATAGTATTTGTTATACCCGGGTTTCCTCCCTGACCCTTCACAGCACGGATGGATCAGAGGTCCCATCCTACCATCACAAATGCAGTAAGGAAAAAAAACACAGGAAATCCAATTTAAACAACTTTTCCACCAAATGATGTAGCATAGCATTGAAGAGTCTCAGTTCCAGTATGGGTTGTGTCTAAATCCCCGTTTTGTCTCTTATGCCTTAGGAAACTGAGATTGTAACTTAATTGCTGTTAGTGTTGGCTTTTGCATCTATTACAAGCAAACACCATCTGTGCCTAACTAATGTTGTAAAGGTTAACCCTGATGTCTGTGCAATGTGCTTAGCATTGGGCCAGGAACAATACAAGTGCTCATGAATTTAAAATTTAATCTACAAACAAGGCCCTTGTAACTGCTTTGTTTTTAAGCTTCTTTAAAAAATAAAAGAATAAAGGAGTCAGTAAATTCTTCCATTCTTATGAGACAGAGGACAGTTAAAGAAAGGGGTCACTAAGAGCTCAGAGGAATGAAAAACCAAGCAAACAAAAGCACCCCCATGTTAATGGAGGTTATCCATAGCTTAGTTCTTCTTACTCTTCAGAAATAGAAACACTAGCCGGGCGGTGGTGGCGCACGCCTTTAATCCCAGCACTCGGGAGGCAGAGGCAGGCGGATCTCTGTGAATTCGAGGCCAGCCTGGTCTACAAGAGCTAGTTCCAGGACAGGAACCAAAAACTACGGAGAAACGCTGTCTTGAAAATTAAAAAAAAAAAAGAAAGAAAAAAAAATAGAAACAGTGTCCATCGTTACCTTTACTTTAGTTTTAGATCTTTGCTTCAGCAAATCTGGAACTTTCCAGGATGTGAGAATAGGACTGTGACTCCACAAATCAATCTTAAATGTGTTCAGATGAATGCTGATGAGTGCTGTCAATATAAGTCACAATCTACCTCTATATCTGAATGTCTTTAAATATATACATACACACACACGTGTGTGTGTGTTTGGTTGTGATTATTTATCTGCCATTTTTTAATCTTTTTATAATTTTTACATTTAAATAGCATTAGTAGTATTATCAAAATCTGTGCTGAATGCATGTATTGCTGTAAATGTACCTTATATTTCAAATTCTTCTTCACCCACCAAAGCTATACAATCTATACCAAGAACCTTTCATTTGTGATGGATTTCAAATTGAAACAGAACCCATGAAAAGGCACATAGTTAAGTATTTACTGTGTCGTGTTTGCTACAACTGTATCTAAATGACACCATTATGTTAATTTATTGAAATGCTCAAAAACAAAAAGATATGTTTTGCATGTTTATATGTTTTGCTGGCAAAGTTTTGATGGTGTAAAAAGCTGTGAAGGGCAGAGAAGGGAGCATTAGGTGAGATGAAAATCATCGTCTTCCTTCCAAGGAGCCAGCTTGAACAGATGAAGACTTCATGGCAGATCAATTCCTCAAATAAACAGGAACACTGCATGTAGTCTGGAAGTTCCTGCTGCTGGTGGTGTCAAATTTTGACACTTAGACACTTCAATCACTCCTGATTTCTCTCCTTTGGATGTTTTCTTTTCTTGCAGGCCATCAAACCTTCTTCTGGACCAAAGCAATGTTGACATCACTACCTTCCACACAACAGGTGACTGGCTTAATGGCGTCCGGACAGCACACTGTAAAGAAATCTTCACTGGGGTGGAGTATAGCTCATGTGACACCATTGCCAAGATCTGCACAGAGTAAGTGGCATACTGGAGAGAAAGGGGAGGGTTGTGAAGTCCTCCTCATCATTTATATTTTTATTAATGGATTATACATACCCAATATGTCTAAGACTGATGGCTTACAATATCTGCTTTTCTTCTGAAAGTAGCACACACTGTCAAAACAGAGTAAGGTCCAGGAGTCCTTTGTACAATACCTGTGTTGAAATACACTTAGCTATCTTCCTTTTTATGACAAATCTTCAGGACAGGGTCTTTCTATGTAGTAGGATGTGCTGGCAGATAAATAACTCAAAGCCCCTAAAACAAAACATTATCAAGTACAGTATGTAATCCTGTATATGTGACTTGCTGTGTTTACTTTTTTTTTTTTTTACAAAACTTTTATATCTGTGGTTACAGGAAACCGAGCAATGAGCTAGTAGAGAAAAAAATATGTCAAAATCCAAAAGCAGTTTCCACAACTGCTAAATAACTTCTATCGTCATGTATTATTGTTTACTCCCTAAGAAAACCATGAAAGAAAAGGGAAGTTAAAAAAAGTTGTAAACTGGACTTTTTTTATTTTCTTTAAAGGATTGGTACTTGAGTATGATAATTGGTAGGTCATAGAGGTTGTTACTTTTAACATAGTTTTTCTAGGTTAAAGATAAAGAATAAGCAAATGTGCCACGTTTTTTTAGGAGTCACTCTGAGAAGAATCTTCTTTTTGAGAAACCCTGACTAAAGGAAAATGGTTTTATAGAGAATCAAGTGAAGGACTGATATGTAGCTAAGCTGGTAGAATGATTGACTAATATGAATGAATCCCATGGTTTAATCCCCAGAACTAAACAAAATGGGTGTAGAGGTGCACATCTTTAATACTATCACTTGAAAATTAGACAGAAGGTCAGAAATTGAAGATCATCCTTATCTACATAAAGGGTTTGAGACAAGTCTGATCTACTTAGAATCCTGTTCCCCAAAATAAAACAGTAATAAACAACCAAGTGATCCAAGGGAAAATGATCATATCTTTCGCTTACTCTCAAGCGTATTAAACAAACAAGAAACCAAAACCAAAACAATACAGTTGTCATGTTCTTTTCTCTTTATAAATGAGGTCAAATTTACCTCAAATTGGCAATGTGACAGCATCCTTTTCTCATCTTGTAAACAATATTAGTTTTTTTATGGTCACAGATATACAGACACACACACACAAAGTTCTTCATCTTTGTTATTCTATCATAACCTGTGTATGGAACAGCTCTCTTAACTAAGTCTCTAGTAAAGAAACAAGGAATGATTCAATTCCATTTGTTATTTAGAATCTCCAAAGTGACATGCTTGCCATTACGTAACAATTCTGCGCAAAAGATGTAGACTGAGAGAGCACTCACTTGGTTCTAGAAGCCTCTATCCAAATGTAAAATATGAGACTGTCTTAAAAGATGTTTGTGTTGGGTAGATATCTTCCAAGATGAGCAAATGCTGCATCAGAGACTTTCTCTCTTTGATCTTCACTTTGTTGAATGTAGCTGTTGGTAATTTCAGATTCATTTAAGTCTTATACTCTTCAGCTGAGATGATTCAAAGTTATTGCATGTATAAAGACTTTGAACGTTACCCTGACATTCACTTCAGCAATCTCATTGTAGGGAGGCACATGTTAGATCTCCCTAAAAAAGTACATAGTGTAATTAATACATGCATAAACATACAATAAATAATTTGCATAATCTATATCATTGTGTTTTGATCAGAAACATTTAATATCACAGAACTTGTGAAAGTGTTGATTGTTATTGGAAAGGATAGCTTATTCTCAGAAAGTAAACTTAGCATTAGTTCATCTAAAATACACTGAAAGTCCTGTTTAAAGTGGAAGGTGATGTTTACTGAGTGAATTTCTTAATCAATCAAGAATACTCTGAGTTTCTCTGGTAGTTGTTTTGATCAGCCACAGTTACAGGATATATTCGTGCATTCAAACTTTTTTTTCTTTGAACATTTTTATACATTCTTATTTTAGTAACATAAACAGTTAGGGTTATGATATACAAGACACCTGCTTTAGAACATAGAAGCCTGACAAGGAATAACCACATAGTGAATGTTTTCACCCAGTTGTCAGATTTTCAAAGGTAAAATTATGCAAATGTTTATACTTCATAATGCATAATGAAATACTACACAAAAATATAGGAAGCAGAACACTCTTCATAAGATTAACTGCTAGTTCGTAGCATAAATATAGTCAGCTTTTAGAAGCTATGAATGAAGTAAGGCAGCTATTTGTTCAAAACAGGTGAGCCAAAATTGTCTTTTAATTAAAAATAAGGGATTTCTTTGTGTCCACATTCCTGTAGCGAACAATATTTGCATCTGGATAATTGGTAGATTTGCATTCAGAAAGCAAACTTGCCTTTTCTGGGGGTCTCCATTCCTTCAGGCTTGTTCTTCAGAACCAGAGGGTGTCTTGATTGCTGTTCTTTTGCTGACAAGAGACAACATGACCTAGACAACTTTAAAAGAAATCATTTAATTGGAGGCTTCTTACAGTTTCAGAGGGTTAGTTCATGACTATCATGCCAGGGATCATAGCAGAAGGCATGATGCTGGTGTGGTAGCTGAGACCATATGGGTGATCCCAAGTTGGAGAGACACACACTCAGAAAGAGAGGGGGAGAGACAGAGACAGAGTCAGAGACAGAGACAGAGAAAAGAGAGACAGACAGAGAGAGCTAATGGGGATGGCCTGGGCTTTTTATATCTCACAGCTTACTCCCATTGACAAACTTCCTCAACTCAGCCATACCTCCTAATCCTTCTCAAACTGTCCCACCAGGTATAACCCAAGGATTCAAATGTATGAGCCTATCAGAGAATTCCCTTTCAACCACACAGATATATTAGATGTCTCATGCCCTACTACCTGAGAGCCCTTTTGCCCCTCAGTTTAGGAGCAAGGTATGATCAGTATTTATTGTCTTAATAATGTTTCTGCCCTCTGACACCATATCCTATACCTTATGCATACCTTTGGTAATAGTATTACGGAATTGCAGGATTAAAATAAAAAGAAGAAAATGAGAAAAGAAAAAGAAAAAAATTCTTACTAAACTGGGGAGCAAAGCCCACTGACACGTGTACACACACAGACATGCACATTCACACACACACAAATATACAAGCACACACACTCTCTCACACACAAACACATACACACACAGAAATATATATATATATATATATATATATATATATATTCTCTCACACACACAAACACACATACACACACACACACACACACATGAACATATATACCCAGGCCCACTGTCTTTGATTCAGTTATAAGCAGGGTAAACATAATCAGGCCATGACATTTTCATCTCAGATGCTGAAAGACTATTAACTAGATATTTTAGGTTTCTTTTATATTCACCTTCTTATCATCTGAACTTCAGTGCTTCAACTCCTATGTTCTTTGTACTATTCAGGCTCAACTCAGAAATGATCCACTTGAACAAATAACCCTAGAAATTCTCCTAGAATAATCAGACACCTGGGTAGGATATTGAATTTCTTTCTGCTTTCCTGATCAGTCAACCGAGCCCTATGAAAAGGTCAGAAGAGTTTTTTTCCTCTCAAATAAATTTTAATTGTTTCAGTAAATTTAAGTATTTCATTAAAATGACAGCTACTTGAGTCCCCAAATTTTCATATGAAGCAAAGAAAATATTTTAATGAACATTAATAAAGTATTATTTCATGGCATAGAATAGATTTAGAGAGGTTCTGTCAAAAAAGGAGAGTACAGAGATGGGCAGAATGATGAAAACTGTGGAGATAGGAGGGTATTAAACTTGGGTGATGAACACCAAACTAGAACATCTACAGGCCATTATCATGTATCTTTTGATTCCTATGTGCTACCACCAATCACTTTATGTATGACTTAAAGATAACACAGCAGCCCCTGATTCTGTCCTGGAGCTGTTCTTTAGTCTTGAGATTTGAAGGATGGGATAATCCAAAGACCTCTGCACACAGGGCATGCTATCAAGACTGCAACAGCTGCTAGCCAAACTCTTGACATGGCAGGGTGGTTCAGAGAAGACAAAGAAGTTAAGAGAGTAGACAATCCATTTAAAATGGAAAAAAAAACAGGCAGGGAAAAACTGATAGGAATATTTTGTTTCTGTTCACCAAAATTAAATGTAATCCTCCGCATTGAACCTTTACACATATGGATCCACTATTGGTTTACATCACTGACTTAGGACTCTAAGACACACTTATAAAGATTTCGTTAGAAATATGCTTGAGGATGGAATCTGCAGAGAAATAATGAAGCATGCCCCAAGGAATTTTCTGGACTGTCGGTCGTTGTTCTCCTCTTCTTTCTCCTCCTGCTTCTTCTTCAAGACATGTTCTCTCTTTGTTGCTCTGGTTATTCTGCAGCTCACTTTAAAGATCAGGTTAGCTTGAACTCCTAGAGATCCACCTGTCTCTTCCTCCTAAATGCTGAATTTAAATGCATGGATGTTTCCTTCCATCCATGCCTTCACTAAATGGCACTCAGGGTTGAAGGTGCTGTCAAATTACACAAGAAACCCTGTTCACATAGAATGCAACTGCTTGTGAGACAAGACAGAGAACAAATAAAATAAATCAGAAAAGTGACATAATTGATACTAATAAAATGGGGAAGGAAATAGAAAGACCAAGAAGTTGCATTTCTTGAGAGAATCAGGAAGTTCTCAATAAAAGGGAATGTTTGAGGGAGGACGTGAAACATGGTCATCTGAGTGAATTATTTAAACAAGAAGTAATTCATAAAATACAATCATTTACCTATTTTTCATTGAAAATAGAATTGGTTTCCTTACCATGTTTATTTTAATGACAATTCTTAGCTTAAACTACTTTATATTTAATAAAGATTTACCTTTGGCCATTTAACTACGACAGCACAACAATGAAGGCGAAGGCGACAGGAATTTGAGATGCAGACCATTGTTGTGATGGAGGAATTTGAGATGCAGACCATTGTTGTGATGGAGGAATTTGAGATGCAGACCATTGTTGTGATGGAGGAATTTGAGATGCAGACCATTGTTGTGGTTGAGGAATTTGAGATGCAGACCATTGTTGTGATTGAGGAATTTTTGGAGGAACTGATAAGGAAGATCAGGTCTTAGTGCTTTAAATCTGGTATTGACGGGAACATTAAGTTGATTTAAAAAAAAAAAAAAGCTCCCATCTGGAGGCTGACAGGGTTTTTGCTTTATTGTCTGCCTTAGCATAGCTAGGATTGTACACTAGACCAGCAGGCTAACACGTGGTCTCAGTACAGTCAGATTTCTACTGTAGCTTTGTGGTAGCACAAAGGGTGTTTCAAGAGAAAAAACATAGAAGATTTTGATGTCATGAGACCTGAGAACAAGAAACATGTAATATTGACTTGAATTTTAACTACTTGCAGTCAAAATAGTCAAAATATTCAAAAGACTAGAAAAAAAGATTTCAAAAAGAGTGTATGATTACCTAGTGTCAGTTGGGCTAATAAATAAATGTCCACATTCTACTACCACAAATATATTCTTTCAATTCATGGAGAAAAAGAGTCTGAAATCAAGGCATTCATAAACTTGCTCAGAAATCATTGTAAAATAAAGCCTTACTTCTTCTAGTTTCTGGTGAATAATGAGATTAATGAGTAACAGTAGAACTCAGTCCCTGCCTCCATTTGTATATTTTCTTCTTCTCCCATGTCATTCTGTATGCTTTCTAGACTCTTAAAAAGAAACATACACTGGCTTTAGTATTCACCATTATCTAGTACTCTATTTCCCTAATCTCTGCCTGAATTATATCTCCAAGAAAATCTAATTTTACACAAAGACATATTGTGAAGTTCTGGGTGACAAAAGATTTGAGAAGAAGCATAATTAACCCACTACAACATGTGTTCTCCTACACAAGATAGGGATAGAATTGTCCAAATAGAACAACATATCAGTGCTTAAAAATTTAGGAAGCAAGGTACCAAGCATAGGGATTTATAATTGTGTCCATTTCAAGCTTAAAACTGTTCTCTTTCTATATTCCTCAAAACTCCATAATTGTCATCAGCTATTTTCTCCTATGTTCTACAGTGACATGAAAAAGGTTGGTGTTACTGTGGTTGGGCCACAGAAGAAGATCATCAGCAGCATTAAAGCTCTTGAAACACAATCTAAGAATGGTCCAGTTCCAGTGTAAATTACAAGAAGGATGTGAGAAATGAAGATGCAGCAGCATCCTGAGAATGATGGAAATGATGGAGACACCAGTGAAAGCTCCAAGTCTAATAAGACACTCAGTTATAAGTCCAAATGCCTTAAAATGAAATTGAAAATCTCTTTATTTTCCCCTATCATTTTACAGATAGATGGGTGGGTGAGTGGGTGGGTGCATTTTGTTTTGTAATTGCTTTTTTATGTTAATTGATGGGGTGAATTAAAACTCTTCAGCTCCAAATGGAAGAACTAGTGTAGAGCCATTGATCATAAACTATCATAAAAGTAAACTAAGTTAACTAGCAAAACGGACCTTAGGTTTTGTTATGAATGGCCACAGGATAAAAGACTTGTGATATTTTTATACACAGAAGAAATCTGTAGCAGGTATTTTGTTTCTTTAAAAGCAAACGAAATAGAGGCATTTATACCTCAAACTATCTGGCCATATTTGCTACCTTATCTCTTTAGTATTCTCTTTTTTCTGTTTGAAACATATAGAGATCAAGTATGTAGTTGTTTTAAATACTACACATTTTTAATTGTTACCTTCATTAAGCATACCATGTAAAAACATGTCTTAATTTGGGGAGGAAGTGCATATTTATTTTCTTTTGGATGGTTTTTATTGTTTGTATTTATGCCTTGATGATTTAATTTGGATTTTGTTACAGCCAAGTGCCAAATGCTATCTCAAATTGTCAGCAGTAAGAAACATGTCTAACTAGACCCAGAGAATGATGTGTTCCTTTCTAGAACTGTTGAGCAATTCACTTATATGTACCAACAAAATGAAACTCCTTCCGTGTTCATTGAGTAGCCAAACTAATCACAGCATGAATTATTCCATTCAGTTTTGTCCCTCCCTTTGTCAGTAACTGTATGCTCCTAATTTAGTGTAATATATTGGCTTGTATGTAATAGATTTTTAACCAGATATCACCCCTCTCTTGCTCTGGTGCTTAGAGGTCATCAACTCCTTCCATTCATGAAGGAAGCGTGTAAGAACTCTTTAGATTTGTAACACTGGAAAGATCAAAATGAAGTTAGATGATTACATTGACAGCAACCTATAGGTAAATGCATGAAGCCAAAAGAATCACTGACTTTGGAAAATCTCTTAGTACAATTGCTTAAACTTGCAGAGCTCCTCGTAGAGATGGTAATTAAGCTACTCATCTGCATCACTGGGGTGTAGATTAATTAATAACACATTTTCATCATCAATATCAGGTATATCCATCTTTCAGTCTTCCACTTCAGTGTACCTATTGTGATTTGGGTGCATTATTAGAAGTCTTGAACTTCCACACATATTATTATTCATATCCTTTTTGAAATAGTAGCTATTCTAGCAAATAAATCCATAAATGCAGGCAATGGAGAGATGTCTCATTGTGGAGATTTTAGACTTGCTGTTCTCTAAAGGCCAATTATGAGCATGTTCATTAATATTGAAAGAATGTGCTGAAGCAATACTTTAGATGCTGGTTTTTCATGCTCATATCACCATTTCATATGTCCAAGAAATGCACATGTCATAAGAATAATACATGCTGCACCAAGTATGTCTATATACAGATGGGACATTAAAAAACTACAGCTTACAGTCATTGAGGAAAACTGCCAAATGCTGCTCTTTGTAGATTTAGTATACTAGGAGTTAGGTGTGTCCTTTCAGATGTGAAATTGTATTCCAAGTTTTGGCAATGTTCCTTATAGTCAAATTATGCTACTGGAATTTGTATTGGATTTATAAGAGGATGAACATTTTGGAAATGAGCTGATGAAATTAATCATAAATTTTGTGTGTATCTCCTGAAAACAACTAGAAGAGAATCTACTCACATAATTTACATGTTGGAATATTTGGTCAAAATTTAAATCTAACTTCTATACCAATTTGGTCATATTAGTGTTCAGTCTCTTAGGCAATATTCTTCAACAAAACTCTCAATAACAATGAATTTCAAAATAAGCAGATGATGAAAATTAAATCTATTGCATTTATTCGGATTGAGTTTCCATTTTTATGTTTGGAAGTAGAGGTGGTTTACACAGTACATTGTTCTTCATTTGTCAGTTATTTTATTCTCTGACCACTTATGAAATTACTTTGCATAATCCCTTCCCTGTACATATGTAAACATAACAATGTACGATTCTGAACTGGGGAGTAGAGGTACTAGAAAGCTTATGGCCATCTCTTTGTACAGGAACTACATTGCCTTCCCATAACAATAAGGCTACCACTCCCTCACAAAGTTATGTACCATATTATCTGATTTGTATCTTAAACTTGATTTATAGATTTTATTTATTTCTGGCAATGCACCCAGTCTATGCTGTACTAAATATCTATCAAGCCATGTATAAATATGATATGATTGGCAGTATGTGTTTACTTTAAACTTACATTTTCAAAACATTGTTCATTTAGTTTATGTTGCACAATGTAGATGGCCTCTTACTAATGTAAAATGATTTCTAGTGGGAACATTTATATTTTTATAATAAACATAATGAAAATATTTTTACAGATTGGAATACAGAAGTGGTCTTTGATGTCTTATTTAATATGAAATACATGCTAATTAACAAGATAACGAAGCATTATCTACATCATTAAGAATGTGCTGTTGTTTTACTTATCCTCTTCATTATTGTAACAAAACTCATTATTATCCCAATCTTATAATCAGAACGCTTGGAAAATGATAAGCAACTATAATCTTCATGTAGAGAGTAAATATATTTGTACTAGTTCACTTGATTATGCATCTACTTCACACATACACACACACTCTTTAAGAGAAATGTAAAATTCTTATGTTCTCACACCAGTCCATTTTTCTTGCAGAAACAGAACTAAGTTTAAGCCATATGATCAGGTATAAGTTTCTCATTATGTCTTCTTCCCTTTAGTCTATATTTCTACCTGTTAATTTGAACTATATGTTTTTACAAGTGGAAAATACAATTGTAGTTAATTTTAATATAAGACTATACTATGATTTCTGTGAAATTATCATTGTTCCTTAATTATCTAATCAGAGATCCTAAAGCCTTGCTTTGAATCACAATGGGTAGAGGAATATATTATTCAAACTGGCAAATACTCAGACCTGTATTTTTCCTGGGAGGTCGTGATGAAATTATGCAGAACAATGCTTGCTAGAGAAATTACATATTTCAGGATGGTTCCTGTCCAAAAGGAAGAATGTGGCTGGCATAAAAATAAGCCAGGACAGTAAAGAAGGGTCGAAGAAAAATACAAACTAAATAACTGAATTGCAAGCTACATGTTAAGACACACCTAATATTTGAAATAAAGTAAAATTCTTTCCATTGTAGTTCACTTAAAGAAAGTGATTTACAAAAAAAATGAAAAGTTTTTAACTGAAAGAGAAGCAAATTAAACTAAGAGCCCTGTGCAGGCAGAAGTAATTAGAAAAGGAACACAAAACAAATTAGAAGTGATTTTTGCCTTGAAGGAGAAATAGCATCTCATCATGTTGAGTGGAGCAGAGAATAAGTGGTAACAGATAAGGTAAGTAAATTGTAGGCGGAAGAAAAAGCCTGTTCATTTGTTCTGTAAGCATTTAATCAATGTTATAGTAGGAAAGTGTTTTTTCTGTGAGCTTGTTATGTACACTGGTATTCTCTGAAACATTTAATCCTCCTGTATCAGTTTCTCAAGGATGACACGTGTGTACCATTGAGGTGTTATTACCAAACTGCTAGACAACTTATTCTCAGAAGTTACAAGTCGTTCATTAACCACATACGAAAATTTCAAGAGTAGCCATTACCTACTCTGTGTAGAGGAGAAATGTTAAGCTCAAAAATCCTGAGTGACCTCCTCTAGAGTCTTGTTCACTTTTTTGCAAAAACAGATTTTTGAAACTAACCCCTTGTGATGCTAGTTCCTTTCAGCCTCACCATCATGGAGTTAACACCTGTGTGATGCTACTTTTTCAGAACTCTAGAGCGTATTATGGACTAGGCCTTGTTCTACTTCAGTCAATCCCCGGAAAAGATTAAAGACATAGAAATACTATGGGAAGGTCATTTTTTCTCATATGGTAAAATGTTGTTGACAAGAAATCTTCAGTCTTACTATAGTCATCTGGGCTGAGATTTTATTTTATTATTTATTGAAAATAAAGTATTTCTAATAAAATACTCAGATCACTCTTTCCCTTCTTTCAATTCCTCCCAAATCTCCCCCTCCTTTTTACACTTACATTCCATGCCTTCTTTATCTCATTAAGAAAATAGACAGGCAAAAAAAGAAAGAAAGAAATAAAGAAAGAAAGAAAGAAAGAATGAAAGAAAGAAAAATGGCAAAACAAAAGGAACAAATAAAATAGAAACACTAAACAGAAACAAAAAATAACAGAACATGCATGTGCATGTTCACACACGCACGCATGCGCACATACACAAACACGCACACATGCACAAACCCCATACAATGCAAAATTGGAAATTATAGTATACAAGAAAATATGAGTTCAGTTTAAAAAGATAGACAAAGCAACATGAAACAAAAAAATCTTTAAAAAATACAATTAAATTTATTTTGTGTTGATTATCTACTGCTGGACATAGGGCTATAGGGCCTTCCCATAAGTGTAGTTTAAGTGCACAGCAAGATTCTGTTGAAGAATACTAATTTTTCCTCTACAAATAGTTGTTAATTGAAGATAGCTTTTTGACTGGGCATGGGAGGCTTCCCTTCTCCTTCTCAGTTCCGGCAAAGTATCTGAGCTGGCCCAGTGCATGCTGCCATAATCTCGACTGAGACTCTCTTTTTTATTATTATTATTTAATTGAAATTTTACATTCCAATCTCAATTCCCAATCCCTTACCTCTTCACACTCCCTCAGTCTTCACTCTTCAGAGAGGGTAAGGCTTCCCGTGGGGAGACAAAAAAGTCTAGCTTATCACTTTGAGGCAGGATCAAGATGTTCTCTGCTATATCTAGACTGAAAAAGGTATCACTCCAAAGAGAATGAGCACCAAAAAGCCAATTCAACCAGTAGGGATAAATCCTGGCCCCACTGCCAGTGGCCCCTTCGACTGTCCCAGACATACAATTGTCACCCACATTCAGGAACCTA